TGCTTGATCTGTGCAGATTTCTCTCCTGATTCAGACCAGAACACTTTTTAACTGGAGGAAGTGTTATTATGGATTATTACTATTTTGAACTAGTGTCTATTTTTATTTTTTTTCGTTTTAATTTTTATATTTTAATTTTTAGTTTCTTCTCCCCAATTTTAGTAACTTTCTTATGTGCTTTTGTCATTTATATATATATATATTTTCTGTTTAGCTTTTTTAGAAAAAATAAAATAAAATAAAATAATAAAATGTATTTCCATTTTAGTTTTAGTAATTTTAGTACTTCAACTTATTTCAGTTAATTACCAAGGCAGCATTTCTAATTTTATTTTTTAAGTTTAAAAACATTTTTTTTTTCAACTTTTATTAATATCAATATTTTATTTTTATTTAATCATATTTAATGTTTAACTGTTTCAGTTTTAGCCATTTAAGTACTTAAATTAAACATATTTCAGTCAGCATTTCCAGTTTTTTAAATATACATTTTTTAAGTTTAATTTCTTCATATAATACTTACACTACATTTTATTTCAGCATCATTTTAATTAACAAAAATGATTTTAGGTAACAATAACATCCCATTTAGGTAGCAAGTTAAAATCGCATTAACGGTATTCATAAAGAATTTTATATTATGGATTATGGAGTCATATTTTAGCTGGAAGCAAGTTTGAAGTTAAAAGCATCTTAATGCTGGATTTGTTTCAGCTTTTGTCTTCTCCAGATGTTAACTGATGGACTGGAGTGCTGTGGATTATTGTGATGTTTTTATCAGCTGTTTGGACTCTCATTCTGACGGCACCCATTCACTGCAGAGCATCCATTGCTGAGACACTGATGCAATGCTACATTTCTACAAATCTGATGAAGAAACAAGCTCACCTACATCTCAGAAAGCCTGAGGGCGAGGACACATGCAGCATATTTAAAAAACAAACAAAAAAAAAAAAACAGCGATGTGTCTCTCCTGACCGCTTGTTAACATCAGGTGCTCTATAAACCTACAGAACTGGACCAAAATTGTAGGAAAAGTCCATAATAATGTTCCCTGTTTCACTAACATAGTTTTCCTATACTGTACATTGCTTCACCTACATTTCATAATTAAGCACCTTGAATCCTAATAGTTGATGATTTTTTATGACTCTTCTGTCTCATGCACCTCGAGTCACTTTATTTACTCATCTTTAGGGTTTTTAGTATGACTTAAAGTCTGTATAAGATCGTGTACAAACACCAAAATTATCACCTGTAGTTACATGAACTCAACAGTCACATGATTTACTGTCGTTCTTCCTCAATATTATTATCAAACGCTCCTGTGCTCCTGTGCTCTTCTTCACGTCCTGAAACATTTACTGTGTTCGGAATGGAATACTAGCTTACTACATACTCAATACTGCGCAGTATACTTACTTTGAGTAGCTGGGGAAACAGAACAGAACAATACTATTGTTAATCTCATTAATCAGCATATTAGAATGATTTCGGAAGATCATGTGACACTGAAGACTGGAGTAATGATGCTGAAAATACAGCTGCGCATCACAGAAATAAATTACATTTTAACAGATATTCACATAGAAAACGGTTATTTAAAATTGAAAAAATATTTCACAATTTTTACTTGAGACTTGGTGAGCAAAAGAGGCTTATTTTTACAAAAAAATTGACCATTAGTGTATAAACTATTCTCTTGAATTCCTTCTAGGTTTGCTGTTAGTATCACATTAATGCACAATAAACATTTCAGACTGTTCAGATGGATGGTTTTCACAGCAATGCTTTTTGGTTTAGAACCATTTAGAACCATTTTTTTTCTTAGCATGAAGAACATTTCAATATTCTAAAGAACCTTTTTTCACTGCATAGAACCTTTTGTGGAGTGGAAAGATTCCATGGATTTTAAAAGTTCTTCACGGAACCATCAATGACTATAAAGAAGCTGCTTTCTTTTTTCCGGATTCTCCTGATCAAAAGTGACAGTAAAGACATTTCTAATGTTACAGAAGATCTCTATCTCAAATAAATGCTGTTCTTTTGAACTTTCTGCTTATCTGTGAATCCTGAAAAATAAAATGTATCACGGTTTCCACAAAAATATTGTGCAGCACAACTGTTTTCAACATTGATAATAATCATAAATGTTTCTTGAGCAGCAAATCAGCATATTAGAATGATTTCTGAAAATCATGTGACACTGGAGACTGCAGTAATGATGCTGAAAATTCAGCTGCGCATCACAGAAATAAATTACAGTTTAATATACATACAGTATACTGCAGAAATAGTATGAGTAGTATCCATTCCAAACAGAGCCATATATTGTACGTGCACTTTTTCTAAGTATCTGACCTTTTACCCTGTAATTTTTTGCAAGAAAGCTGTTACGTTTCATTTGATGAATTTAATTGTCAGAATGTTTTTGACATGGAAGGAGAAATGCCAAAGTATGGATATATCCTGAAATGAATTTATTGAACTTTGATGAAATCGATCTGATCCTCAGAGTGTGTTTTCATCGTCGCACTGAGGTTCGGTTCGACTGATCAAAAGCACAAAGGGATGTTAGTTAAAAAAATTATTTGTCACAATCAGTTAAACGAATGGCTTTTGTTAGAAGTATCTTGTATGTGTTGCAGATTGAGTAGCACCTACTGCACTTTATGCATGAGTTTGGTTTGATTCTGAGTTGATTAAAACTTCAAATCTATTTTTTTTTTTTGCCCTTTTCTGGAAAATGCTTCTAAAACCTGTTTCAATGTACAGTGTTACAGTTATATTTTGTATTCAGAATATTTTTTTTCTGAATTAAAAAAAAATAATTGTGAATAATGTCCTGCCCTGGAATAATAAAATTGCTTGTCCCTTTTTCATTGTGAATGCTTGCCTCTAAATATGATAAATATTATAAAGCTTTTACAGTAGCAGTTCCAGACTTAAATCAAAAGTGTGTGTGTGTGTGTGTGTGTGTGTGTGTGTGTGTGTGTGTGTGTGTGTGTGTGTTGATTATTTATAAACTTTTATTAAAGAAATGTGTAAAATGTTGCTCATCAGAATCATGGGTTCGGTCGAAAAATGTTAAATGCAGTGCAGTTTTCTCTGGATTAAACGTAAGAGCCCTTGAGCAGATCAGATAAGACCAAATGAATGAATGAATGTACATGTGTGCGTGCAGGACAATCCTTGTAGGCAGAACTAGTTTAGAACGGCTATAGTTATAGCATTAATTGTGCTAGTGATTGAGCGGTAGTGGAGCACTCTGAGAGCGAGCGAAAAGCAGAATTCTCCGACTTTCAAAAGATCCCTGCTTCAGTTAAAACCACGCTGCTCCGCTCTCAATGCACTTCGATCCAATGCGCTGCTTTGGGGTGGCAACTGGGGTGGCAAAGCTCATTTTAAGGCCGTGCCACCCTTGTGGACACGCCACTGTGTGTGTGTGTGTGTGTGTGTGTGTGTGTGTGTGTGCCCAATACCTAAAATAAATAGCACAGTTAGACTGTATATAGGAAAACAAAACTAATACTCATAAAACTCTTTACAAAATGTCTCTATTTATTTTAGTTGTGTTTACATTTTAATGTATGTATAAAATGTAATGCAGTCTGGTTGAGTTCTTTTTTATTATTATTATCTGTGTCGTGGAAGAGAAAGCGCTTCATTGATTGGTTGCCTGATTCCTGACTCCGCCCAACCCGGAAGAAGCTCTGTTTAGGGGACGTCGCATGTTGCTGTCCGTGATGGCGTCGTCCACAGAGCAGAGTCTCCCGGAGCTCACTGATAAGGAAACTCGGGAGAAGCTGTCGCACTGGGACCGTCGCGGGGCTCCGATGGCTCCGTTAACGGAGAAACAGACGGACTCGGTCCTCGAGATCCGCGCAGCCGCAGAAGTCACGCTTCTCCCAGCGGAGGTGAGTGCAGTGATGCTAGCGTCTGCTAACAAACAGCTCAAACACACTCCTCTCATTCACACACACTCACACTTCTGCTCTGTAGTGTGCACTAGGATGAGCACTCGGTCTGGCTGGTTAGGTGAGTTTAGTGTGTGATAGTGTGCCACGTATGTAATCCATTCAGTGTGCAACTAAGTCAGTTTAGCTAAACAAGTCTTGCATTTCACTTTTGAGAAGAATTAATAATGCTAGTTTAACCAGGGCCTCGCAGAACTCCTGTGGCTTTCAAACTGGGGTCCTGGAAAAGTTTGGAGAAAAACAGTAAAAGTAGCATATTAGGAACTAAATATTTTACACTTGTAATATACATTTTTCACAGTATAAATGGGCTCACAGAAAAACAAAAAAATGTTAGATTAATAAATAATTAAAAAAGACTAGATTAAACTTGCATTTACATTTTATATTTAGGCATTTAGCAGATGCTTTTATCCAAAGCGACTTACAAAGGACATAACATATATATATATATATATATATACTATTAATGAATGAATGATTAAATAAATAAATTTAGGTCACACATGATGCACTGTGGCTGAATGACTCTAAATAAATAAATACATTTGATTTAAAATAATAAACAAATACTATATATTTTCCAAATAATATTAAATAATGTTAAACGAAATAAATAAATTTGATTTAAAATAATAAACAAATTATTAACAAACAGATATTTTCCAAATATTATTTTAAAAATTTTTCACATTAATTTGTCACAGTATAAATTAGCTCTTTGTACATGAAAATATATCACTTCTTTTACATTTTATGTTCGCACGAGGATGATCATATTTGGGGATCTAAATGATTTAACTGAAATATTAAATCATGTTAAGAATTTCTAGGACCTGGGAAAAATTTGGAGGAATAACAGGGTAAAACAAAAAAAAGATTAATCTAAATACATAAATTAAGTTGATTAAAATAATAAATTAATATTACAAATTAAACAAATAATAAATTAGTACAGTACTGTACTGAATAGAAAAAAAAATTACACATTTATAACATGATTTGTTTTGATGAAAATATTGCAGAATATATCACCTTTTATGTTTTACGGTCGCACAAGGATGATAATATTTGGGGATCTGCGGCATCTAAAAAACTGAAAACACCTGATCTAAACGATTTGACGGATGCTGAATAAAAATCGATGTGTGTTTGCTTTTGAAATATGCTATTCTCCTTACTGCATTTTAATAATTCCCTGAATGAAACTTCGTTTTGTCAAATATTTTGTTTGGAAAGTATGCTATAAAATAAATGACACCTGGGTCATTCCGTGTCAAATCAACCAAATTTCAAAAACTTCCCCGGCTCAAATTTTTGATTTTGCTGATATTTTTACTGAAGAAAGACAGACATGTATAGTGATGAAAGCCAAAATATTAAATGCCATGTGAAAATGGCCATTTTCACCTGAGATTCAGAGCCTAATTACAGGGGGGTTAAAATTACCTCAGAAAGATGGCAGCATCATTATGATACTTTTACACAGAGATTGTTAGGTCTGTTAGTAAAATCTGTTGACTTTAGCAATCTTTGTTGCATTATGTGCTAGTGGTGACCATTCAAAAATGGGGAAACAGCACTTTTCAAGGTTTTTCTCCAAAGTTTGCATGCCTCTAACTCAAGAAGTATTAAAGATATCTTAATGTCCTTTTAGATATTGGGTCTTAACAAACTTTCCTTTTGGCATCTTTATTTTTAAGGCCCTATATGGTTTGGTTCCAGAGATATTGGAATTTCAATATGGCTCGAAGAGTTAAAATGTACATATTTTTAGTGGTCAAAAACCAAATGTGGGTCAGTTTGCAAAAATATGATGCTTCTTTTATTTTAAAGAACAAATGATGTTGAAACTAGATATGTATCTCGTTTACTTCTGTAACTTTCCAAGTGCCATAAATATTTCTCCAGAAAAAAATATTGGCAAAATCAAAAATTTGAGCCGAGGAACTCTGGTTGACTTGACACGGAGTGACCCTCCTGCTGCCATACATTGTTGTTTAATCATCATTAGGGTTGCAAAGGGGTGGAAAATTTCCGGTAAGTTTCCGGAAACTTTCCAAAAATCCCTGAATATTCCCCAAAATCCTGGAAATTTTCCAAAATTTCTGGAATGTTTCCGAAATTTACTGAAAATTTTCCACATTTTTGCAACCCTAATCATCATTCAGTGGCATTCAGACATTTGCACTTGTATCACTTTCTCACAAACTCAGTTTAGGGATCATTCGATCCATTGCAACAGGTGTTTCTCACTCTTAATCACTCATGTTGGGTGTTTTGAGAGGGCATGAGATGGTGATGCTGCTCTGAATGATTCCTCAGCTGCCCATCGAAGACATCTGCAGCCTGACGTCTCGCTCTCTGCGCTCCGCGTTCACAGCGACTCTGCCCGAGTCCACGGAGGAGGTGCTTCTGCAGGGCTTTCAGATGCTGGAGCTGGAGAACGAGCGGATCCAGACGGCTCAGCAGGTCAGCTCTGCTTTTATTATCCTTGCATGAGAAATAAAGTCCAGTTCCAAATCAATATGAGACAAATTAAAGCAGCTCTAATAATAGCTTACTTTTTTAAACTAATAGATTATTAACACACTGTTCTTACTATTTCTGCAGTATATATTCTGTATAATATACACAGTATTTGAATGACTCATTACTTCATTAACCGCCAAAAGTTAACCTCCTGAGACCCTGCATCCTCATATGAGGACATTATATTTTAGTGTATTTCTCTGAGACTGTACATGCCACAGTTTTAAGTCTGGATGTCCTGTACAGAGCACTTTCAGGGCTTTTCAGAGATACTAAATGTTTGCATGTTTCACCAAGACCACTCCCTCTCCTTGGTCTTCAAAAATGTCTGATATTAATGTAGTGACACGCTTATGGAAATATGATAATATTTTGTAATTATCATTTAAATCTGACTAATTTTTAAACTGTGTGTCATAAATCAACGTAAAAAAATCAATTGTTTTTGCCTATGCATGTTCATTCATGGTTTTTTATTGTATTTATTTTTTTAATGAAGTCCCGATGTCCTCTACAAAGGACGTAGCATAACTTATGAATGAAATATAATTTTTTTTTATTTTTATTTTTTATTTTTTATTTTTTTTAATGCTCTAAACAATGTAATGACATGAAAAAATACAAATTTTTTCCTAAAATGTTTTGCTTAAGAGGTTAAGACATTTTACTCAAAATTAAATTATGGGGAAAAAATGGTATTGCTGCTCATAAGCTTTACACGAAAACATAGCCAGGTTAAATTTAACCCCTAAAGTCTGCATAAAAAAATATTTTAAATGCATGTTATTAAACGTATTGTGAATAATTCATCATTGCATATGGTTCATTTTTTTTATTTGTTGACCATGTGATTTTTAATCAAACTGTCTTTATTCGAGATCTTCATATGCTCACATTCATCTGCCTCATTTTTTAAATACCACACCCACAGGGCTGCACGATTATGACAAAAATCATAATTGTCGATTATTCCCTTGAAATCGAAATTGCGATTATTAATTACAATCATCACAATTTACATTGAATGATGTTTTGAATAGCTTTATACCATTGTTTGAAGCAACTGCATGCCATATTTTTAGTTATAAAATGGAGAGTTCCGGTGCTTGATTCTGATTGGTTGAGCCACGTTCGAAGCTGTTGTAAATTATTCTACAAACACACACCTTTGTTTACGTTTGTGTGTTGCTCGGCAGCTACTTTGTTGCAACCACAACTGATTCTGAGGAACTACATTGTTTGGTGGAAGAATACTGTTTTTATTAATATCATTACACTTTATTTGCTCTGTTTTATTCTGTGAAACCTTACTACGTATATGGAATAACCGTTTTATAAAAGCAATAAGCCCCGTGAAGCCGTGGTTTACAGTGAATTTATAACAGCTAAGGGGGTTTTAGGCACTCTGCGAATTATAAAAGCAATAGCTGTTATAAATTCACTGTAAACCACAGCTTCTTGGGGCTTATTGCTTTATTAAAAATGAACAAGCTGAAAGCACTCTTCCTGAGAAACTTTTATTGCTTTTCTGTAGCATTAAGCCTTAAATGTCATCTATACATTGGTTTGGTTTCTTTAAATAAAAAATGTAAATGCACATGGTATTATTAATGTTATACTAAATCTAAAAGTAAAACCATGGAAGAAAACCCTTAAGATAACCTGTAGCGCCGAATAATGTAAGTGTTTGTTTTGTTTTGTAATTGCGCCTTTGAACAATTACATAATCGTGGCATCCGTAATTGTAATCGCAGTTAGATGTTCGATTCATTGTGCAGCCCCACACACCCACATCTCAACATAGAACCAATTCCCCACCCTACGTTTAGTCTTTTTTGATAACCTGTTATACTCGGATGTCTCAATATAGAAAAAATGAATTTTATGTATTTTTGTGATTCATTGCTGCCAAAAGTTTTGACATTTTACTAAAAATGAAAAAAAAAAAAATGTTTTAATTTCTGGGATTATAGCCTCGTATATGATGAGATTGTTTAATATCAGTGTAGCTGTCATCGATCAAGGAATAATGTTGAGTTTGTTACCTAGTATTTAAAAAAAACATTGTAGGGAAGTAAAGTGATTACGTATTACACACTTTTAATGATTGAAAGTCTTCACGGACTGTAGTTTGTTTGTTTTATGTATCTATTGTGCACAAGATGAACGACATCATCATCATCATCATCATCACATGACTAATGACATCATCTGTCTGTCAGTTTTTTTCCTGGTTCTCGAAGCTGCAGGTTCAGATGGATCAGGATGAAGCTTCAAAGTACAGGTGTGTGTTCATGTCCAGTTGTGACCCTGGAGCACAAAACCAGTCATAAGGGTCAATTTTGTTTTTAATTTATGAGATTTATGCATCATCTGGAATCTTTCCATTGATGTATGGTTTGTTAGGATAGGACAATATTTGAAAATCTGGAATCTGAGGGTGCAAAAAAATCTAAAAAGAAATACTTGCATGAGAATATAATATAAGAATTTTACAGTTGTATCCTGTCAAGTGTCCTTTTAAATGTATCAGCAAAAATTATTGTGGGTGTTTATAACAAAGGCATTGTTGACCCAAAAGCTGATGTTTGATCAGATGAATTGCGCTTTCCTCCGCAGGAAGACCCGGGATGTTCTGAGCGTCTGTCAGGAGCAGTGTGACTCCATACTGAGCGACGTGAATGCTGCGCTGGAGCGTCTGGACTCTCTGCAGAAGCAGTACCTCTTTGTGTCCACAAAAACAGGAACGCTTCATGAGGCCTGTGAACAACTGCTGAAGGAGCAGGTCTGATGTTCCCTCTTAACCACATTATATACACTAGACTGGAGAAAAGTGCAGATAATGTTTCTGAAAGAAGTCTCTTCTGCTCACTCAGGGTGACATTTATGAGATCAAAAATACTGTAAAATTGTGAAATATTATTACAATGTAAAATAACTGTTTTCTGTGTGAATATCTGTTCAAATATAATTTATTTCTGTGATGCGCAGCTGAATTTTCAGCGTCATTACTGCAGTCTTCAGTGTCACATGATCTTCAGAAATCAGTATAATATGCTGATTTGCTGCTCGAGAAACATTTCTGATTATTATCAATGTTGGAAACAGTTGTGCTGCCCAGTATTTTTATGGAAACCATGATTCACTAACATTCAAAGGTTTGGGGAAAGTATTCAGTTTGGTCAAAAGTGACAGTAAAGACATTTATAATGTTACAGCAGATTTCTATTTCTAGTTCTTTTAATCTTTCTATTCATCTGTGAATGCTGAAAAATCAAATGTGTCTCAGTTTCCACATCATGTGACACTGAAGACTGCAGTAATGATGCTGAAAATACAGCTTTGATCACAGAAATAAATTACAGTTTAACAGATATTCTCATAGAAAACAGCTATTTTAAATTCTAATAATATTTCACAATTTTTACTGTATAGTTGATCAAATAAATACATTCTTAGTGAGCAGAAGAGACGTCTTTTTTTTTTTTTTTTACATAAAAAAAAAGGAAAATCATAGAAACTTTATTGTCATTATAATAATATAACGAAATTGTTAGTGTATGTAATTAAAGGCGTGTTCATGTACATTGATGAATATGTGTATTTGTCTTCTCTCTCTTGTGTCGACAGTCAGAGCTGGTGGATCTGGCTGAGAGCATCCAACAGAAACTCTCATATTTTAATGAACTGGAAAACATAAACACGGTAACGCTCTGCTGCTGTTTCCAGAATGTGTTGATCATGTGTTTATTGTCTGTTTATGCATCGGTTTGATCTCTCCTGTAGAAACTGAACTCCCCGACATTATCAGTGAACAGCGAGGGATTCATCCCGATGCTTTCCAAACTAGACGAATGCATAGAATACGTCTCATCACATGTAAGCCAAACGCTTGCTACAGTGTTGCAGTATTCTCCTCTTGTGTTCCAAATTAGAATATCTCAATGTTTCACACGTGCATATTCCTCATAATGGTTCTTTCTTTCTTTCTTTCAGCCACATTTTAAAGACTACCCAGTCTATCTGACCAAATTCAAGCAGTGTCTGTCCAGAGCCATGCTCCTCATCAAGAGCCACACGGTCAGCAGCCTGCAGAACCTCACGGCTCAGCTCACCAAAAGGGTGCGTTTAATAGAAACTAAAGCTTGCTGATGATTAGATCACAGACGATTGGATCATTTCCGGTTTGTTTATTGGATATGTCCCGAGCAGGACCCGCTGGGCGCTCCGAACGCAGACAACGCCTTCACGCTCTACTATGTGAAGTTCAGAGCAGCGGCACCCAAAGTTCGAGTAAGACTTGTGTGCAAACACTCGTTTGACATCAGACTGGATTGTTTGATTTGGCTCTTCTATAATTCTATTTTTATTTTTATGTGATTTTTTTTGTTTTGTTTCAGAGGCTCATTGAACAAGTTGAACAGCGGTCCAACAAAATCCCAGAGTGAGTGATTTATTTTTTGATAATTCTTATTTCTATGCACATGCATTCCATATTTAATTAATTTTTTTTTTTTATCATATAACAACAAAATTAAAATCACAAATGTTGCCTTGGCAACTAGCTAAAATAAACACTGTTATTTTTTATTTATTTATTTTATTTTTTATTGATGGATTGATACTTTATTGATCCTTTACAGGAAATTACATAATTCATAATTACATAATAATGGTTTTAATTTTAGTTTCAGTTTTAGTCAACTACTGTATAATAACCCTGTTCTGGATCTTCTTGTTTCCAAACTTGTCATGAAACTGGAGGTTAAAGACCGTTCACCCAGATATGAAAGCTCTTTTCATTTACTGTTGTTTTATTCTGACCCGAAATTATTTTCTTTACTCCATGAAACACAACGTGTTTGACAGAATAATATTTATTTATTAGTTTATTTTTGTTTGTTTATTTATTTTTCATTTTTATTTTATTTGTTATGTTAATGAATTAATTTGTTTTCATTTATTTTATTCATTTTTTTTTGTTTGTTTATATCTATTTATTTTTAATTTTGTTCATGTATAATTTTTTTGCATTTATTTTGTAATTAATTTTTTTGTAATTAATTTATATTATGTTTTAGTTTGGTTTTGTAGGTATTTGTATTTATTAAAGGTATACATTATATATTATAAGTTCTATTTATAAAACTTTATTTTTTATTTTATGTAATTTATTTTCATTTATTCCATTTATATATTTTACGTTTTTATTTTATTTTTGAAATTATTTTCTTTACTCCATGAAACACAACATGTTTGACAGAATAATATTTATTTATTAGTTTATTTTTGTTTGTTTATTTATTTTTAATTTTTATTTGTTTTATATTAATTTGTTTTCATTTATTTTTATTTTTTAGTTTGTATCTATTTATTTTTAATTTTGTTCATTTATAATTTTTTTGCATTTAGTTTATGTAATTAAATTTTTTATTTTATTAATTTATATTATGTTTTAGTTTGTTTTTGAATGCATTTTTTATATTTATTAACGGTATACATTTTATATTATAAGTTCTATTTATAAAACTTAATTTTTTATTTTATGTAATTTATTTTCGTTTATTCAATTTATATATTTTACTTTTGTATTGATTTATTTTTATGTTTGTTATTAGTTTTAATGTGTGATGAATCAGGCTGCTTGGAAACAAACCAGTCTGTGTGTGTGTCAGGTATCAGCAGCTGCTGGATGAGATTCATCAGTGTTATCTGGAGCAGAGGGAAGTTCTGCTCAGTCCCAGCATAAACTCCACCTTCACAGATCTCACCAGCCAGAACAACAAGGATCACTGCGCTCTGGTGAGGGAACCACATTCTGCTTCCACACATCATGTGCTGAGCATCTGACTTTTGTATGTGTATTTTTTCCTGTTATTTACAACGGATGATGGTGTTTAAATGAACACAAAAATGTCTTGTTTCTTTTCGTTTGTGACCCTGGAGCACAAAAGCAGTCTTAAGTAGCAATAGCCAACAATACATTGTATGAGTCAAAATTATCGATTTTTCTTTTATGCCAAAAATCATTGGGATATTAAGTAAAGATCATGTTCCATGAAGATATTTTGTAAATTTCGTACCGTAAATATATCAAAACTTAATTTTTGACTAGTAATATGCATTGCTAAGAACTTCATTTGGACAACTTTAAAGATGATTTTCGCAATATTTAGATTTTTTTGCACCCTCAGATTCTAGATTTTCAAATAGTTGTATCTCTGCCTAATATTGTCCGATCCTAACAAACCATACATCAATGGAAAGCTCATTTATTGTATGTATATGTATATGTAATGTATAAATCCCAATTTAAAAAAATTGACCCATAAGATTGGTTTTGTGGTCCAGGGTCACAAATGTCCAGTGATTTTCAAAAATGAGACAAGTTTGTTTGTTTGAACAATTTACAAACTGGACGTTTTAGAAAAAAAAAAATTACCTACATAGATACAATTAGTTATTCGTTTTTTTTGTTTGTTTTTTTTTGTCCGTAGCTTCATATTTGTCAGAAGTTGTGAATGTTCTGAATGACCATTTTTGCTTTTGTTTATGCTTTTTTATTTTTTTTGTATTGTTTTTTTTAAGTTTTGACTGAAAGTCTGCTCCAGATGTCCTAAACGCTCACGCGGCGTTCATTTGTGACGTTCAGCTGATGATCGCAGCTGTTGTTGTTTCAGGTGCGCAGCGGCTGTGCGTTTATGGTCCATGTGTGTCAAGACGAACACCAGCTTTACAACGAGTTCTTCTCCAAACCCTCGTCCAAACTGGAGTGAGTAAAGAAACTCATTTCAGATTAAAGCAATACTTCACACAAACATAAAAACTCTCTCATCATTTACTCTCATATTATTCTGACCCGCAATTATTTTCTTTATTAGATGAAGCACAACATGTTAGACAGAATAGTATTTATTCATTTGTTTATTTCTGTATTTTTTTCTTTCTTTATTTGATTATATTAATTAATTAATTAATTGCATTTTTATTTTTAATTTTGTTTACGTCGTTATTTATTTGAAATAAATTAAAATATTGTTATTTGTTTGTCTTTATAATCTTTATTTTTATTTAATCAATTAATTTGTTTTAATTATCATAAATTATTGACTTATTTATTTTATTTTTCTGTTTAATTGTTTTAAATTTTGTTTTAAATATTTATTTTAATTTTTACTTATTTATTAGTTTATTTATTAGCTTTTATTTATTAATTATTTATTATTTGTAACATGTTAGACAGAATAATATTTATTCATTTGTTTATTTCTGTATTTTTTCTTTATTTGATTTTATTAATTAATTGCATTTTTATTTTAAATTTTGTTTACTTCGTTATTTATTTTAAATAAATTAAAATATTTGTATTTATTTATTGTTATTTATTTATTTGTTTGTTTGTCTTTATATTATCTTCATTTTATTTATCTTTATTATTTTTATTTGTATTTAATCAATTAATTTGTTTTAATTATCATAAATTATTTACTTATTTATTTTATTTTTCTATTTAATTGTTTCAAATTGTTTCAGATATTAATTTAAAATTTTACTTATTTGTTTTTATTTATTTATTTATTATTTGTATTTTGTTTCTTTTTTATTTTTTTATATTTTTTATTTTATTTATTTGTTTGTTTTTTTGAATCCCCATCTACTTTTGTTGCATGGAAAACAGAGGCTTTGGCATTCTGTGTATTTTTCATTTCTATTTATTTTCTATTTAACCTCAGATTGTGACGGAATCAAGCTGGGTGTTTTTGCTTTTAAATATGTTTATATTATCGAGCGCATTATTTGTGACAGTGAGCTTCTGGAGAAGCTCTGCGTGTCTCTGTATGACGTCTTGAGGCCTCTGATCATCCACGTGGTTCATCTGGAGACGCTGTCGGAGCTCTGCGGCATCCTGAAGAACGAGATGCTGGAGGATCACGTCCAAAACAACGGTAAAACAACCTTTCCTACCACAGCCGTCTCTTTATACAGTTAAAAACACTGTAGATGCACAAGTCGAGTGAATTACTCAACCTGAATATTTCAGTGTCAGACTCTTTTCTGTGATCTTATAACTGATAATTATATTAATGACTTGTGGCAGATTGGGACGAATGTCACGAAAATAAGCTATATGAAACAAATCCTAGAGTAAGAAAAATATGTTTTACTCATTTTAAATCGAAGTATGACCAAAGGTGTCTTTTAGGTCAGACAAGACTTACACATGGATATTTATTAAAAGGTGAAGAAACAAAAATGAAGCTTATTTGTGACCCTGCAGCACAAATGCAGTCTTAAGTCGCTGGGGTATATTTGTAGCAATAACCAAAAATACATTGTATGGGTCAAAATTATCCGTTTTCTTTTATGCCAAAAATCATTAGGATATTAAGTAAAGATCATGTTCCATGAAGATATTTTGTAAATTTCCTACCGTAAATATATCAAAACTTAATTTTTTATTAGTAATATGCATTGCTAAGAACTTCATTTGGACAACTTTAAAGATGATTTTCTCAATATTTAGATTTTTTTGCACCCTCAGATTCCAGATTTTCAAATAGTTGTATCTCGGCCAAATATTGTCCTATCATAACAAACCATACATCAATGGAAAGCGCATTTATTCAGCTTTCAGATGATGCATAAATCTCAATTTCACAAAATTGACCCTTATGACTGGTTTTGTGCTCCAGGGTCACATTTTATTGGATTGTACTGTTTTTAATGTAAATAGACAGCTGTTTTATTCAGAGGTGTGTCTAACTGATTTATATAAAAATGTATCACCTGAATGCATTTTAGAATTTTTGTCTGGTGTAGATTTGAAACGTCTTTTATAGCTTTTTGTTAGTTGTATGCCTTGTGTCATTTATTTTGAGATCTCCATGAAAATGGCCTTGGTGTTGAAAAGTGAGTGAATGAATAATGAAGCAGTAGGGTTTGTCTCAGAGGTGCAGCTGGCAGCGTTTGACGCTGTGGTGAAGCAGATGCTGGAGGACGTTCAGGAGCGTTTGGTCTACAGGACACACATCTACATCCAGACGGACATCCTCGGATACAAGCCTGCGCCGGGAGACCTGGCCTACCCCGACAAACTAGAGATGATGGAGGTCAGCGAGCAGAGCCCTTCTGAGATGCTGTTAGTCCAGGGATGCTGGGGATCAATGAGTTTATGCTTTTTCACAACATTTCTCATGTTCTTGTAGTTTAACTTGATGTACTAAAGTAACACAAACTTATATATATATAGACCAATTTCAGTGTTTGCAAACAGTGATGACGTTTTTGTGGGCGGAGTCTATCTGGTGGCAGAAAATGCCTGACTTTTTTCTTGCAATTCCGAGATTATATCTCACAATTCTGATCAGAAAAAAAAAAAATATCAACTCGTCGTTCTCTCTTTTACCCTCGGCTCAGAATCATGAGTTTATATCCCACACTTCTGGTTTTTTTCCCCTCAGAACTGGCAAACTCGTTGAGGTAAATGAGAAAAAAAAGTCAGAATTGTGAGATAAAATAGGCAGGCTAAATGTAATGTAAAATGTTATAGGTTTAAATAGTATTCCATGCTTTAACTGTAGGGCTAATACAATATGTCCCCTGTGTGAATATTATATAGACCTTTCATCCATAGTTTGCCCGTTTAAATGTCTGCGTTTAGCTTCAAATGGCGTCTTTGATGACATTATTCTATAAAAATTATTTACATTCTGATTCTGACATCCAAAAGCACAACAATACATTTTTTCTCTTATTCCATGGATTTTACCCGTTTCCCTCCACTTGTTCCCAGGGTTTTTCTGCCACCACAATGCACGCGCAGCTGCAAGTGACGTAACTGTGACGTCTACTCCAAATTGGTCTATATATATATATATATATATATATATGTGTGTGTGTGTGTGTGTGTGTGTGTGTGTAATACAACAAAAAATATTGAAACTTGAACAAAAAGTTATGTGGAAACTGTAATAGTGTTTCATTTATACTAAAATAATATTGCCTGGAAAGCCGACTGTTTCCTTTATGAATCCATCCAGCTTTGAATTATTAATTATTATTATTATTATTATTGCATTTATTATTTTTGTAATTTATTTATTTCTATAACAAATTTTTAGTTTATTACTTCTTTTTTTTTTTACATGTATTTATTTGTATTTTTTAAGTTTTATTTTTGTAGATTTTAATTTATCTAATTTTGTATGTCTTTATATTTCAATTGTTATTCATTTTTTCACATTTTTGTATTTTTTTTTTATTTTTAAAATTTTTTAGTTAATTTATTTTAGAATTGTTTCATTTAATTTGATTTTTTTCAATAGTTTATTTATTTGTTTTTATTTTTAAGTGTTTTTATTTTAATTTTGTAATGTATTTATTTTTATTTCAGTTTGTATTTATTTTATTTTTTAAATGTATTTATTTTTATAATTTTAAATGTTATTTTAATGTTTTTATTTTTAACATTTATTTTCATTTTCAATTAATTATTTTATTTTTTAAATGTATTTATTTTTATAATTTTTAATATATTTTCTATTTTTGAATTTATTTATTTTGTTTTTATTCATTTTCATTTTTTCTTTTATACTAAAATAATATATAATTTTAAATTTTATTTTATTTTTATTTTTAACCTTTAATTTTGTTTTCAATTAATTTTTTTTATTTTTTACATTTTTATTGTTATCATTTTTAATATATTTTTTATTTTTTAATTTGTTTTTATTCATTTTCACTTTTTCTTTTATTTATTTATGCAAATGCAAATGCAAATCTAGTCCGTGTCCAGTAGTGTTTTGAAGAGTGTATTCTGTTGCAGAAAATCGCTCAGAGTCTGAAGGAGGAGCGGATGAAGCTGACCTCGAGCAGCTCTTTCTCTGACGTGCAGCTGGAGGAGTCTGATAATAAGAAGCTCATCAGCTCTGGTGAGTGTTTGTCGGGACACAGTTTCTGTGATGAGCAGCTCGTCGTGGACGGCGGTGACGGTACGCTGTTTCTCCTGCAGATCCGCGCGCACACAGCACAGTTTCTCCCGCAGATCTTCATGGCATGTGGTATCCCACCGTCAGACGGACGCTCGTGTGTCTCTCCAAACTCTACCGCTGCATAGACGTCAGTCTCACACACCACTAATCATTACAAAATTAATTAACAACTATGTTCATTTAATAATTAACCATTTATGAATGCAAAAAGACCAATCTATAGTTTCCCAATGGCACTGTTTTAATAATTAATATGTATTAACAATATTCAATAATTTAGTATCAGATTTTTTTTTTTTTTTCTGATCTTGTGGTTAATTAAATTAGTATATTAAATCTAAATCTAAATTAAATCTTAATGCTGATAGAGCACCAAACATGAACGTTTTGTCATCTTTTATTCACCCAAGCGTTATTATAGTTAACTGAAACTAAAACCATTTTCATTACATGAAATAAAAAACACATTAACTGAAATTATATATATATATATAAAATGACAAAACGCACAACAAAATCATTCAAACTTGACAAAAACAAGTTGAATCTGCTTTTTAAAAACTATTATTATTATTAGTAGTAGTAGTAGTAGTAGTA